TCGGATCGGATCGGATCGGATCGATCTATCCTTTTTTTAACTCTATTCGATCCAATCCGATCACATTCGTTCCTTTTTCCCTTTCTATTCGATCTCATTTCATCCTATTCAAATTTATTCAATTATGATCGGTCCTATTCTCGGATCTATACAATTTTATTCAAGTCTATTTCGATCCCGATTCGATTCTATATTTTCCATTCTATTTCACTCTTTCTCGCCTAATACTTGAAATTTACTATTAACCATCGATAAAACAGGATTCTACTAATGCCGGACTCGTACGGTCAAAAAAGTAGATGTCTATTGTTATCAAATCGTTCTAACGCGTGTCTCTTAAATATTTCACATTTATAAACAATTTGTTATTTCAATTCTTATGAAATTTTATTACGAAAAAAAAGACTTTCTTTTCTCCGATTCTTTGTTTATTATTTAAAATGAAATTTTCTAATGACCATCGTTAGAAAATTTTTTAACATTGAATATTATTTTCGTAAATAATCCCGAAAGGCAATGGGGAAGAATTTGTGTTATGTAAGAAAAGAAAAAAAAGAAAAAAAAAAAAAAATCACACGTTACACGAATGATACACGATGTAAAATTTTTTTTCACTTTTATCTTGGCCGATGACTAACTTCGCGTCATTTCTTTTTTCTTTTTCTTTTTATTCTTCTTTTCATTTTATCTTTTGAAAATGGACGATGTAACATTAAGTAAACGCGAATGAACGTGAAACATTTTAACGATAATCATACAGGGTGATAACTTAAAGGCAAGCATTATTTATCTTTTATATCATTAAGCTGTTCAGTGAACACCCTATGCAATGTATGTGCATTGTTTTCGATTATTAACACTTCTACGAATGATATTTTATGATGAAAGATTACATATTTATTAAGTAGAAATTAATTCGAACGCACGCAAAGCAAGCAAGCAAGCAAGCAAGCAAGCAAGCAACCCCTTTTTATTTTGAATTTGTAATAAAATAATATCGCTATTTTGCACATTGAATTTTGCTTTTGCCATCTTTCTTTTTTTGCATTACTGACGAAAGAAAAAAAAAAGAAAAAAAAAAAAATAGAAAAGAAAAAAAAAAGAAAAAAAAAAGAAAGAAAGATAAGAAATAAAAAAGACAGAACGTAATCGGTTTCAAACAAACATTAGGACATCCTTGCTTTTTTCGTTTTATTGACAAATAAAAAAAATTTTTCTGCCACTTATCATCATCATCATCATCATCATCATCATCATCAACATCATCATCATTATTATTATTATTATTATTATTACTATGTCCGTTCGTTAAATTTTTGATAATTTTTGGTTTAAAGTTGAGAAAGGAGGAGGTGATATCATTTCCCCTCTCTCCCTCTCCCCTCCTATATATAAAAGGTCGAACTAGGGATTACGATATAGTGTAAATAATCGAAACTATCGATATTTCCTATTACGTATTCCAAAAAGAATTAACTAAAACTATTCTGACGATTTATATCGATTCGATCCCGATTCCATTCGATTCGATTCCATTCGATTCCATTCGATTCGATTCGATTCGATTCGATTCGATTTTCTAGTAATTAGATAGCAGATACACGAATAGCTTTTACGTTCTCGTACTACTGCATTTATCTATTTTACGTACGTAAAGTAACTACGTACTATGTTGGTACTTACACGTAAGGGAATCCATTCCGAACGATTACCTAATCTATTTTATGATAAGGACTCGCGAACGTTCGACTAACACGCGAGAACCCTTTTTTCTATGTTTATCGTCGTTCATATTAATTCGTTTCGAATCAAGAGAGTGAAAAGAAAAAAAGAAAAAAAGAAAAAAAGAAAAGAAGAAAAAAAAAAAAAGAAAGAAAAATAAATCCATGAAAAATTTCAATAACCCTTAAAATACTCTTTAACCCTTTGACTGAGAGTTGTTCTAAATTGAAGCGCTCTACGCGTGAACACAGCCAGCGGCATAGGGGGAAAAAAAAAAAAAAGAAAGAAAAAAAAGAAAAAAGAAAAATGAAAACATCATCAAATTTCCTTATCCACAATAATCGTGATTTAATCGTACCGACCCTATTGTTCCACGGAGTATACTATCCCTCGACATGGAGTATATCGCGTACGAACGAGACGATAGTAAACAATCGAAGCTTTTTCGCCGGGCGCATATATGCGTCCACGGGTCAGGCATGCGGCGCATATATGCGCCCACCCCTCTCCAGTCAAAGGATTATACATATAAATATTCGATCTCGATCGATCAAGAAGCATCGATAACGTTCGTTAGCTTACAATTTATTTTCGTCGAAACGATTACAAAAACTACTATAAATATATGTATATATGTTTGTGTGTACATATATGGGGATCGTAAAATGATCGATACGCGCATAGATTAGTACAAGGAAAACATGGTACAAACGACATCTCGATAAGCTCCCTATCGTGATCTCTCACGTCTGCCAATTTTTTTCCTCGTTAGTCCTTCTCTACCGTACTATAATCTCATAGTTCGTATAAAAAGTATGAGAGCGTTCGCTACCTACGAAGATCATTCAACGTCGAAGAACGTGAGGGTAGACGAGAACAGTTTTCTTCTATCCTTTCGAATACCGCGAATTTCCCGTTGGAATTCTTCCGAAAATTCACGGAATTCCATACTAACAACTTCTAGACCTCACTTTTTAAGGTCGAATAGGGGCCGGATAAAACGGATGGGAATAAGGGTAACTCATCTCTGCGCGTTCAAAAATTTTCATACGCTTTTCTTCTTCTTTTTTTTTTTTTTGTTGTTGTTGTTGTTGTTCTTCTTCTTCTTCTTCTTCTTTTTCTTCTTTTTTTTGCTTTTGTATTTTTCTTTTTCTTTTCTCCAATGCCATAGCTCATATGAACAATCATGAGAATTCATCGAGAATCAAAGCGATAATCGACGTAATCATTTATGAAAATCTTTCGGACGAATGATTATTAATTTTAATATTATAAAAATTGTATATCGGCCGATATTCGATGAGTCCGACAAAACGAGAATAATTTCAGTAGGGTGTTAGGACAAGAATCGATAGTGAATTGCAATGATCGATAATAAATCCACGACGTGGTGAAAAAGTTCAAGGGTAAAAAAGTTCGTAAGATAAAAAACTCATATATATATATATATATATATATATGAGCATTATCGATATTTTGCATTGTCACGAATGAATTGTTTATCAAAATACATAAGTATTTTCGATGTGGTTGCATTCGTACGTATGCACTATCTACCTACCTACCTACCTATCTACCTACCTACCTACCTATCTACCTACCTACCTATCTACGTACGTTCATTCGTTTGTTTTTACTCAGAAATTTATTCGGACACGATGTCCCATGAATAAACATTATTCGCAACGGCATGCTAATTATTCGCCAATTATTAATGATAATAAATTATTAACCACGGTGGAAAGCATTCGCTAGTACGTACTGTGTAAGTGGAAAAGGATGGATGTGAAATAGAGAAACAAAGAGAGAGAGAAAGAGACAGAGAGAGAGAGAGAGAGAGAGAGAGAGAGAGAACTAAAGAGGGTCCGCGGTGAAAGGGTCACACCGTTGTTCTTGCAATTACCATCGATCAATATTATTCGAATCCGTTGTCTCAATTATTTAGGGTCAAGTTTGCATCCGGGCTGAATTATTTGGACTCTGTGTACATCGGCCCGATGATTCCGCGTTTCCGCAGTTTAGAAACGCACGTTAATTTCTCCCATGACTCTCTCTCTCTCTATCTCTTCAATGAAATCCCATGTCGATTTGATTTGTCCCATTGTCATCTTTTCTTTTTTTTTTTTTTCTTTCCTTTGTATCCCTTTCAATCTTTTCGCCCTAAGTTTGAGTCAAGGAAAAGAAAAAAAAAAAAGAAAAGGAAAGGAAGAGAAGGAAAAAAAAAATTATTATTTGTCACGTTTTCTTTCTTCTTCTTCTTCTTCTTCTTCTTTTTTTTTTATCCTCTCGCTCGATAAAACGACACACGAACACATAAATCGAAGTCGTTTCGTCGAACAATTGCAACTTCTTATTTTTTAACAATTGCAAATAATTTTGCCAAAGAGATAATCCATTAAACGTCGACACTATTGATCGATCGATTTACTTGACTAAACTATTGATCATCAATCGTAAGATACTAGGGATAAGATAGCTATTAACGAAATCATTATTTTTATTAAATTGAAACTAATCTCTCTCTATCTCTCTCTCTCTCTTGTTTTTTTTTCAATGCCATTTCTTCTTAAAATCTCATTTAATTTATAAATAAAATCCAAATTTCAAAGTATCCAAAACTTTGTTATATTAAATTTTAAAAAACACAAAATTATCTTAACTATTATTATTATTATTATTATTATTATTATTATTATTATTATTATTATTATTATTATTATTATTATTATCAATGCATATAAATGAACGAATGAAAGGGACTACCCTTGAAAATTTTTTTTATATAGTTGCGATATAATTAAAAAAAAAAAAAAAAAAAAAAAAGAAAAAAAGAAAAACAAAAGATTAAAAAAAGTACAATTAAAAGACAAACAAACACGACATAATCGTGTAAAATCAAAGTGCATCGTTAAAATTAATCCATTGAAAGGAATCACGATAAAACGAAAATCATACAAAATTATTCAAGGATATTTTAAGAAGAAAAAGTAACATAACTTATGGGAAAATTTCGCGAAGTACAATTAAACGATATAATGTTATGTCGAGGATATATCATTCGAAATAAAAATTTTTCAAAATAATTATGATATATAATTAGGTTTTTTTTTTTTTTTTTTTTTTCTGTTAATAATGTTTTCGTTGACAAATTACACGTCCATTTAAATATTAATTAAATATGCATACAAATATACATACATACATACATACATACATACATACATACATACATATATATGTATGTGTATATTTTTATGATAAAAGATAATCAAACGTTTCTCGATGATAATTGATAACAAGAGTATTATCCAACGATTGCAGTTTATTCAAATGTTCAAGCTTTGTTCCAAATTTTCTATCTCCTCGTTTTCTCTCTTAGACTTTCTACAACTGAGAACAATTAAACAAGGCTAATTACTTCACCGCTAGACAGCCGTCCATGAAACGTCGTTAGTCAGTTAACGTTCATGGTATTTAGACTTTTCCTTGGCCGTCGACTTATAAAAGTCGTGATTCTCGCGAACCGAGGAGCTTTTCCCGGAGATCCACGTTCCAAACAAACTTTTGTTCGTGGCCACTTTTGCGAGTCTCCCCTTTCATATTCCATCCCTTTTTGTGAGGGTACTCGCTCCCGCCGTTGTGAAAATCCGAACGCGACACGATCGTTGAACTTTGCACTTTGCAAAGACGAGGGGGGTTGCCGGGGGGCGGGGGGAGAAAAGGAAAGAAAAAGAAAGGGGGCGGGGGGAGAAAAGGAAAGAAAAAGAAAGGGGGCGGGAGGGGAAAAAAAGAGAAAGAAAAAAAAAGGAAAAGGCAAAATGGAAAGAAGGTTAAATTATTTTTCTTCCTTTCTTTCTTTGTTTTTTTTTTTCTTTTTTTTTCTTTTTTTTCCTCTCTTCTTTGGTCATACATAATAATAATAATAAGAATAAGAAGAAGAAGAAGAAGAAGAAGAAGAAGGAAAAAGAAGAAAATATTTTTCTAACTTTGTACGATAACTTAAGAAATTTTTTTCACGACAACAAATACGTATATCATATTAATGACAATGATTCTTTAATGATAATTCTCATAAACGAATCACGTATGAATTTCTATTATCATCGTAAAATTTACGATTTACCGTAATTAACACACGTAGATAAAAATGTATTTTTTTTTTTTTTTTTTTTTTTTTTTTTTTTTTAATTAATAAATCAATTCATTTTAATCATTAAGATGATTAATATATCGTGGATAATCGTTTATTTATTTTTATTTATTTCTCTTTTCTTTTCCTTTCGTTCCTTTTCTCTCTTTCATCTTTCTTATAAAAACGTTTTTAAAATAGCTTCTCAATATTGGTAATTCGTAATATAAAAGTACTCTCTCTCTCCCTCTCTCTCTCTCTCTCTCTCTCTCTCTCTCTCTCTCTCTCTCTTTCTCTATGTTGTTGAATCTCTCTATCCTTCTTTAGTTATTAATCCAAACGTTTGATCTCTCTTTATCGTTACATCCTAATTCCTTTATCGAGCTTCTTTTCATAATATAAAAGTCAATAAGTTCTTTTCGACTCAATCAAATTTTATTATATCTGATCAGACATATTAATCTTTGTATTAACATTTTTTTTTTTTCATTCGAATAACATTTTATTTATTTATTTATTTATTTATTAATATATTTAATCACACTCATTATCTCTACTTTTCTTTCATTTTCCATTGATTATTATTTTAATATCCGTTCTTTCTAAATTTATAGTTATCGATCGATTCTTGAGTTTTACCCTGTCCCACATACCCTCCCCTCCCCACAACCTCCCCCCGCAACCTTTTTTTATCCTTCGAGACATTTACCACTCCCTCCCCTCTGTCCACCTCTATGGCCCTCCCCTCTCTCTTTGTTCCGAGTGAAATAAATTTTTTTCTTTTTTCTTCTTCTTTTCTCTCTCTCTCTCTCTCTCTCTCTCTCTCTCTTCTTCTTTTTTTTTTCCATCGACGTGCTCTCACGCAGCAAAGTGGAACGTCGTAATCGCACTACTTCATAGTGACTTTAGAGTTCACGTTAAAAACTTCTTCCCCCTTTATTTTTCTTCGTTCTTTTCTTTTTTTTTCTTTGTTTCTTTTTTTTTTTTTTTTACCGCCTGCCAAACGCCCCCCACCCCCACTCCCCTCCGCCGCCCCCTCCACGTCTATTTTTTTTCCCTTTCTTTCCTTTTTTTCCCTTCTCTTTCTTTCCGTAGCTTTCGCGGTAAATGATTATTATGTATATATCCTCCCGTGGGAGTATGCGAGGTGAGGTGAAAAGCTCGCGTGATAGTACTCGTCGGTTCACCTTGATAATAACTTTTCAGGCTCACATCGGTCATTTTTATGTACAGGATCCGATCCCGGGCATATGATAATTTTAGAACGATTATGCACCTCTCGTTAACTACCCAGTCCCGCATTTATAATAATAATAAAAAAAAAAAAAAAAAAAAGAAAAAGAGAAGAAAAGAAAAGAAAAGAAAAGAAAAAAAGAAAACGTACGGTTTATATTCTTCGCGACGGCGTGAATATCACCTATACCATCATGGGATATATATATATATATATATATATTATATATTATATATTATATATATATATATATATATATATATATATATGAATATATAAAAAGAACCTCGGGCAATATTGAGAGGTACGGTGCGTGTCGGACGGGTGATACTAATTCTTATAATAATTTGTTGCCTCAGGCAGCGTTGACAACCCCCGACATAAAATATTGTCCATTCGATAATGCGATTCCGTAATCGCGTGATCGTAACGAGGCGCGAAAATACTCGAAAGCCAATACCATTAACGATATAGATATTCCCCTCCTTGATCGCTATTACTCTCTCTCTCTCTCTCTCTCTTTCTCTCATCCCCTGTCTCCATCCATCTATATATATATATATATATATATATATATATATATATATATATATATATATATTTATATACCTGGACGATATATTTCTCTTCGATAGTTCAAAAATCGAAAATTTTAATAAATAAATAATAATACAAATCGATTTGACCAAGAGCCGAGGTTGCCCGGCTAATATCGAAAGAGGTGGGAAAAAGAAAAAAAAAAAAAAAAAAGAAAGAAAAAAAAATAATAAAAACGATAACAAGATTTACTTGTCACCAATCGACGAACACGTTTTCCTATAAAACGATACGATAGATAAGATACTCGCTTAACGACGTTATAAAAATCTATCACTCTCTATCTCGCCCACCTCTACCCCTACCACCCACTACTATATGATTCTTCTCTATTGTACACATTCGAGATATTTTCCCCCTGAATAGGGTGATTTTACGCTCACTCGTATATCTAAAAATTTATCAAAACGTTTTTTCTATTTCGTTAACATCCTGACGATTTAAAAAAAAAAAAAATCGTCTTTAAAGTGTTCGAAACGTAGTAAAGGGAGCATCGAAAATTTTTTTATTATTTTTACCGCCGCTATTCGTGACATTTTCTTTTTTCTTTTTCTCCTTTTCTCTCTCTCTCTCTCTCACTCACTCTTTTTTGTTGCGTCGATCGTCTCGATATCCCTTCCAATATCGATGGACGAACCCAGTGAATTTCGTTCGATTTCACGAATCCATTCGTAGCCGGCGTAAAATATTCCAACATTTAACTCTTCCATCTGACGCTTACGATAAAAGTGCCGATAAAAGCTTCCGATAAACTGATTTTCCTCCTCTCGTCCGCGTCAACCTTTTAATTTTTAGCCCCCTCCCGGACCACCCCCTCCCGTTCCCTCACCCACATTGAAGGGACATTAATTTTCGATCTACAACGATCTCCTACCCCCTTCCTACTTCTCACCCCTTCTCCCTCCTCTCTTTGTTACCCCAGTTGCACACCATGGTACTTCCTAAATAACATTGAAAATCATTGGCTCTATTCACAACACCAGTGCATTGACAAACATTTTCATCTTAACGACTCTTTAAATACACGCTGGTTGAGAGCAGGAGGGTAGGTGGGAGGATAGTATAGAATAGAGGAAGGATAAATCCACTCGATAAGATCCCCCCGCCCCTCCCCACCCCTCTCTCTCTCATCCCTCCCCCATTCTCACCGGGGAAAAAAAAATTCCGTATAACCTTCGTTCATACGAAGTAACACCGCACTTTAAATGGCTATACTTGCACATCAAATATATATATATATATACTTCTTTTTTCCCCATAGATACATCCTCATTGATTTTTCTTTTCTACGTTCATTTATTTCTCTACGTCTATTTTCATTTCACTTCATTTTTATTTCTATTCTATTTTTTCTTCTCATTTTGATTTCCTCACAATCGAATTATTATCGAAGTAGTCGGAATTATTTTTGAAGAAGTATTCTCAAAAAAAGAAAAAGATATCTTATTTCGATATTTCTTATTATACATACACACACACACACACACGCACACATATATATATATATATAAATATTTTATAATTTTTTTCATTAAAATATCACTTATATCCGTGAATTAAATTCACGTTTACGAAGAAGACAAAACGAAATTCTTAACGTTCGCCTAAATTCATTCTCAACGAACGAAGCGCGTTCAAGTCGAACACGCGATTTCCGTAAGTTTTATACCTAACCACCTGCTACCTACCTACATACATACATACATGCATGCATGCATACATACATATATACATACATACATACATACATACGTACGTACGTACATACATATCTCTCTCTCGTATGATCCGAGGGTTCGATTTACACAACTCCAGCACGCGATTTTTACATTCGTCAAATGAATGAGGTAACAGTGGTTCCAATCCTGACGTCATCTTAATAACAGGAACAAAGGTATCGAGCCAAGGGACAAACTCTCTCTCTCTCTCTCTCTCTCTCTCTCTCTCTTTCTCTCTCTCGCTTTCGCTCTCTTTACTACGAAACCGCGTCAACATATTTTTCCGCCATTTTTTTTTCCTCTTTTCTTTCTTTCTTTCTCTTTCTTCTCTCTGTCTCTCTCTCTCTCTCTCTCTCTCTTTTTTCTTAATTTTTCCATCTCATTCCTAATCGTAGCCATTCATAATTTTATATTACGACAAACGATTAAATTCTCTTGCCTTTCTAATTTTTCTCTTTGTTCTTTTCTTTTTTTTTTTTGTTTTCCTTTTTTGCTTCTTCACTTTTCTTCGTTTCTTTGCTTTTTTTTTTCTTTTTTTTTTTTTTTTTTTTTCTAACATCTACCAATTCGAAAGCGAGCGAGCGAGCGCGCGTAAAGCAAGATATCATAACGTTCGGTGAAAGTAAATAAGCTGATTAACGCGAGGCATTAACAGAGAACCCCGAATAGAAATACGAAAATTTGATTGTTTATTAAAATTTAAGCTCATGTACGTCGGGTTAATATCGATCGAAAACTTAACAGCGGATAACGGAATCGTTAATGCCATTAAAACTTTGGCAAATAATCGACCGTCGTGATCAGCTCATTTTATCAATGGATTAAATATCGTCACGGAATGAATATATTGATTTATTATTCATTCGTTTATACATACAAATACATATACACACACACACACACACACACATATATATATATATATATATATGCATACGTACATACTTGGGATGTATGTAGATAGAAATGTACCATAGTTATATACGTATTTATATATATATATATATATATATATATATATATATATATATATATAATCGTAACATACATGCATACGTAATAAAAGTTACAAATATGCATGTACGTACGTACGTCGAATATAATTCGTTGATAGCTTTTTACTACGTTAACAAATTTACATTGTAATCATTATTATAAAACTTTTTCTTACGACGTATTATTTCTAACGATTACAAAATCATCCTCTTAATTAAAAAATAAATCATAACGATCAATGGCTCTTATTTCTTGCGCGTTGCTTTCACGTTCTCTTTCTTTCTCTCTCTCTCTCTCTCTCTCTCTCTCTCTCTCTCTCTCTCTCTCTCTATCTCTCTCTGTCTGTTTGTCTGTCTGTCTTCGTAAATATTTGATCGAGCTTTAAATCGAAAATATGAGAAACAAAAAATCAAGAGAAAAGAAAAGAAAAAGCAAAAACGTCAATTTCAATTTAACATCACTTGATATTGCGGTATAAATCAATGTTATTCTATTCTCTCAAACACAAACATTCTCCCTCTCTCTCTCTCTCTCTCTCTCTCTCTCACTCTCTCTCTCTCTTTTTCTTTTGAATAGTAAGTAGTAATAGAAAATGAGGAACAATTTGTATTATCTTTTGAGAAATAACTTCTTCTTCTTCTTCTTCTTCTTACAGAGTGAGAGAGAGAGAGAGAGAGAGGGAGAAAGAGAAAGAGATAGATAACGTTTGGAATCTCTTGGTAAGATATCTTGTATTCGTATATCCTTAATGCGAATGGAACTTTACCTTTACGAGAAACAGTTTGGTTTGGAAGACTTTAAACGTCTTCTAAACTAGTTTAAATATCTTACCTATTTCACGCAGAACGGACGATTCTATCGCGTTTACCGATATCGAGAAAATAATAATTATTTAAGGTAGTATTATTATTGTAATATTGTTACAATGTAATAATGTTTCATCGATTTCAATTAAAATTGACGTTCGATCGTACTGTCAAAAGTTCATATTATTATAATAGTATATTAGATTGTAAACTATAAAACTAAATGTTTTGGTTTAATTTCTTTTTCTTTTTTTTTTTTTTGTATTTATTTATTTTCATTCAACGCTCGTTTCATAATTTCCAACTTAATACTATCTTTAAAGGGAAGATAAACAAAAAAAAAAAAAAAAAGAAAGAAAAAAAAAAAAGAAAATCCTTGCATTCTAATTCACGGTCGTTTTTACTTTTGACAATGATATAACTTATCGATGATAAATTCAATTTATCGAGATTTTATCGAGAGATTTGATGGAGCAAATTAAAATTGAAAAAGAAAAAAAAAAAGAAAAGAAAAGAAAAGAAAAAAAAAACAAATCGTCTCGTCGATCAATAATATTAAATATCACTTCGATTATGGCTACGAGATTATGAACGGATATTATTTTTTTCTTTTGAAAACTAACTTCCTCTCTCTCACTCTCTCTCTCTCTCTCTCTCTCTCTCTCTCTATTTCTATTTTTATCTTTATCTTTATCTTCATCTACTTTTATCTCTCTCTCTCTCTCTCTCTCTCTTTCTCTTTCATTCTCATCTTATAAACGTTATTTCTCGGTAACGCACGAAACTCTTTTCTCGACGAACGTTAAATAAATATAATACAAAGTACATACATAGCTCGGTAGAACCCGTAATAAGAGAAATCTCGTTAACGCAAGAAAGGCAGGATCCTTGCGATGAAAAAAGAAAAGGAAAAAAGAAAAAAAAAAAGAGAGAGAGAGAGAGACAGAGAGAGAAAAGAAAAAATAAAAATAAAATAAAAAAATAAAAAAAAATAGGAAGAAAGAAGAAGCAAAGCTTGACGTAACGTCGATACAACCAACGTGAAGAGACGTAGAAGAAGACAAGAAGAAGGACGAAGAAAAAAGAGATAGAAAGAAGATCGAAGAAGGAAAAGATAAGAATAAAAACGATAAATAAAAATCAAGAAGATGAAAAATTGATGGAAATTAAGGAGAGCGCGGGGAGGGGAGGGGAGGGAGGAGGGGCAGAGAGAGAGAGAGAGAGAGAAAAAGTTGAGGGAAAATAATTTTCTCAGGATCGACTAATAAAATTGACTTTTTCCTTCAATATTATTCGAATATTTTCATTATCGGACAGTTAATTAACTACACTGTTGCGTTTACGTTTAAGCGAGACGTATGGATTTTTCTCGAGTACCAAAATACAAATGGTACCTTAAGATTTTCGTAAAGTTACATCAACGTGAAAGCAGAAGAAACGACGACTGGGATGATGGCACTCACCTTATTCGACCTTTAACCTCGTTTTTTTTTTTTGAAAACGTCAACGGCGATAATACACTTGTAAGCATATGCGTCGTACTTTAAGACACGTCGTACACGTAGATCCTGAAATTTAATCGAAATTTTCTTCTTTATTATTAATCCTTATTTACTTACTTTCACATACTTTCATCAAAAGAAATAAAAGAAAAAAAAAGAAAAAAAAAAAAAAATAAATAAATAAATAAATAAATGTGATCAACTTCATCGGACAGACGTGTGTAAAATTTCTTATCCATTGTTTTTTTCTTCTTTTTTTCTCTTTCAAAGAAAATAATCGTTCTTGAAAATCTGTATATACATATATATATATGTATACACAGGGTGTGTATACATATGTACACAGCGTGTTCAAAGAGTATGGGGATCAAACTTATACCATGTCTAACTACTTATTCATTCAAAAATCCTTTATCGAAAAGATATATGCCTTTAAAAATATTTATGATTTATTTTCATTCGTTGATGAAAAAAAACCAAGAAATTCATTCATTCATTCATTCATTAATTAATTAATTAATTAATTAATTAATTAATTCATTCATTCATTCATTCATTCATTCATTCATTCATTAATTCATTCATTAATTAATTCATTAATTAATTCACTCACTCACTCACTCACTCACTCACTCACTCACTCACTCACTCACTCACTCACTCATTCATTCATTCATTAATTAATTAATTAATTAATTAATTAATTCATTCATTCATTCATTCATTCATTAATTCAATCATTCATTAATTAATTCATTCATTAATTCACTCACTCACTCACTCACTCACTCACTCACTCACTCACTCATTCATTCATTCATTCATTCATTCATTCATTCATTTATGAATGAAATTTATTTTCGCTCGGCATTCGCTAATTCGACGAATGGAAGAATTTTGCAATTCTCACAGAAAAAAGAAATTTCCGAATATTTCATTATAACTAACCCGACAAATCATGAATATCTTTATAAATTTAAATCCCATACTTTTTATACACTCGATATGTATACCTATTTACGTATACTATAATTTAAGTACTTATTCATTCACATCGTTGTATGGAAAATTTTTTTTCTTGAACGAAACAAAGACGAAAGGAGAACAATCGACGTCTAAGTAAAGCGAACGTCGTCGTCGTCGTCGTCGTCGTTGTCATTGTCATCGTCATTATCGTCATCGTCATTATCGTCATCGTCATCATCATCGTCTTACGTTGACGCTCAATATAATCAAAGTAAGAAGAAAAGCCTAATATCGTTTATATTTAAATGCATAAAGATTTTCGAATGGATTTTCCTGATACAAAGAGTTAAATCAGAGAGAGAGAGAGAGAGAGAGAGAGAGAGGGATGACGAGGGAAGGGATAGGGAAATGGTAGAAGAGAAGGAGAGGGGATTTTCGATACGCCCTCGGCGTTAAGATAATACAAAATGGCGTAAGTCTCTATACCATTCTTGTAAACTCGACGGAACTACCCTCGTGATTTCTCTTACACGGCGAATCGAGCTAGATTGTAAGAGACCAAATAAGAAAGAGAAAGGCATACACACGAGAGTATGAAAGAAAGAGAAAGAGAGAGAGAGAGAGAGAGAGAGAGAGAGTAAGTGAATAAGAGACTCTCCCATGAACATGCCAAAGATGCATTAATATTAATGTAAACGGGATTTACTACGACGCATTTCTCTGATCTCGAGTATGTGACGTATGTTTACAAATACCTTCCTCGAGTTGTTACTATCTTCATCCTTCTTTCTCGACCTTAGGAGTTACTGATATATATGTATGTATATATATATATATATATATATATATATATATATATATATGTATGTATGTAAGTATGTATGTATATATGTACGTAGACCTTCCTTGTCGTTTCGTTCATTTCTAGAAACGTCATAAGGATAACCCCGTAGTACACTACCAACCAACCAACCAACCAACCAACCAACCTACCTTTCTTCCTTCCTTCCTTCTACGACGGAAATAGGATGGCGGTTGTCTGAGTTGCGACGTGAACCTTTATATTAAACCTTTTACACCTTTGAAGTCCACGTCGAAAACATTTCTTCCGGTACTATTATTATTCCGGCATGGGAAAGGAGAGAGGTCGGGAGGGGAGGGGGAAAAGGGGAAGGACAAGGGCCCAGGGATCTACTTTTTTTCGTCTACGTAAAAAATCGAAGCTATAATCAATCTCTTTACTTTTCAAATTTATCTCGATAAATTTCTAATCAATTCAATCCTTTTTATAAATATTAACTATCTAACAAACATAATTATCATAGAAGGATTCTCGTTCATTCAATGATTTCCTTTTGATATTTCGTTCAATTAAAAATAAATTTTATTCGTTCGATCGTCATTATTCATTTCGAAAATTTAACATTTGTCTCGTTCATTCGTATTTCATTTCGTTACGTTTCGTTCTAATATAATATTAGACGGATAGATTTAATCTCGTGAATTGTTACATTTTTTTTTTTTTTTTTTTTTTTTTGATAACGTGAACGATTAATTAAATCAATTCTGATTAAATACGTGACAGTTTAAGTACAAAGACACGTGGATTATATAAGGTATTATGTATTTTAACGGGAGGAGAGATAGAGAGAGAGAGAGAGAGAGAGAGAAAAAATAATAGAAGAAAAAGTAGAAAGAATAAAAAAAAAAAAAAATATAGGGAAACATCTTAAATTTTCAAATCAGATTAATCTAAAGGTAAATTATTTTTATGGATAAAATTGTATGATATATGGGATTGACAACATTTATATTCGATTAAATCAACCTTTTGATTATCCTAAGAAACGAACGAATTCGAACGGATTGTTAACGAGTATCGATTGTTACCGAATCGATACATCGATACTCCATACACACACACACACACACACACACACACACACACATATATATATATATATATATATATATATATATTTATAGAGTGTATATTGACTCTTATTGCATTAACTGTGATAAAAATGTCATCCTTTCGAAACATATCGTATATTCCGATAATATTCTATTAATAAAAATAACAGTATGTCAGAATAAACGATTGATTGTATCAATTAACATTAAATAATACGTATTAATAATAAAACGATAATAATAATGATAATAAATAAATATATAATACGAGCGACGATAAAAACTTCTTGAATACATCGAGAATCGTTCGAACGATAAAAATTACGTGAGAGTAATGATAATTTATTTAAAAAAAAAAAAAAAAAAAAAAAAAAAAAAAATGAGACATCGAAACATTTACAATCGTCTAATATATAAATAATTGAGGAAACTTTCGTTAGACAATTATAATCACATCGTAAAACATCCATCTTTACCGTGATTTCGAATGACTTATGTAATCGATAATAAATAAATAAATTCATTAATTAATTGGATAATTAATTGAAAAGGAAAGAAAAAAGAAAAAAAAGAAAAAAAAAAAAGAGAGAAAGAAGAAAAAAGATTTCGAGAATAATCTCGTGACAAAGAAAAAGAAAAAAAAAAAAAATAAATAAATAAAAGAAAATAAATTTAATAAGATCAAATCTTACAATTATATTGGAAATCGTTTTCATTGAATTCTATTATGTTTCATTGATGAGAAACGATTGATGAAAGAGAGACAGAGAGAGATAGAGAGAGAGAGAGAGAGAGAGAGAGAAAGTTAAATTGTTAAAAGTATAGATTGAATGAAATTTTCACACTTGTTCCAAAGATCGTTTCGAATTCTTCGTATCCGACCAATAGAAGGTTAAAGGTAAGAAATGGAGAAGTTTGATGGTCATTCAAGCGTTACTTCATCGAATTTCTTTCCGTAAAATTCTTTGAAAAACTTTTCTCACCCACTCTTTCCCACCCCTCCTCCCTCTCTCTCCCTCTCCCTCTCTCTCTCTCTCTCTCTCTCTCTCTCTTTCATTCTTTCTTTCATTCGTTTTGTTTCTCGTAAAGAGCAAAACGGCATACCTAACGAATATTTCATGAAAAATCTCAGAGGTGTCCTTCCATGATTCGCGTTTCCGATATAAACATATATATGTATGTATATGGACATACACACAGCGTGCACACACACACACACACACACATATATATATAGATATAGATATAGACATATATACACGAATACGATTATTTATATACGTAGATGTATCCACGGTTCAATGCCGATCGTTGTCACGTTCCCGTTAAATCGACTTTCGCAAATTCGTTTGGAGAAGTAAAACGAGGGGGATGGCAGGGAATGATGGTTGCTTTCATTCCAGGGATATGCACGACCGGAATCGCGAAATGACAGCCAGTTAATCGGACCGAGCGGTTCAGTTGGCGAAAACAAAAGTGGGCGGAGAGATGCATGGTCGTAAAAAATAGACAGAGAGAAAGAAAGAGAGATAGAGACAGAGCGAGCGAGAGAAAGAGAGAGAGAGAGAGAGAGAGAGAGAGAGAGAGAGAGAGAGAGAGAGAGAGAGAGATAGAGAGAGTTACCAACGTGTATAAATCCTGTTGACGAAAAGTAGGTACGTGTAAAAAATAAAAGGAAAAGAAAAGAACAAAATCAAAAAAAAGAAAAAAAAAATAAATAAATAAATAAATAAATAAAAAAGAATGAATACAACAAATAAACAAATGAACAAATGAACAAGTATATAATGAATGTACGTACGACGTTACGGGATAGTGTAAACGTAAAAAGAGGAAAAAAAAAAAAGCAACGTAATGTCTCACGTGTTTCAATGAGTCGACTCACCTGCCTATCCTCCCCTGCCCCCTCCTCATCCAACTACCCACTCTAGTTTCTTTTTTTTCCCTCGCTACGATTAAAATTTTTCTACGTATTACGATATCAACAAATCCGACGAACATTTGTCGTGACATTGAAAGTCTATATCAACCTTGTATCCTTATTTATATCGTATATCGTATTTACGAGGAATTACAGAAACAAAGAAAAAAAAAAGAAAAAAAAAAAAAAGGAAAAAAAAGAAAAATAAAGTAATAACAATTACAACAATGATACATTAATACATAAGGTTTCATTGAAAGAAACGTTTATGCTCGACCTTGAAATTTCCTCAATCTAAATCTATCTTGTTTTGAGGGACAAAGCGGTACAATTATGCGTGCGTAAGCAAGCACATACGTAAGTAAAAGAAAGAAAGAAAGAAAGGAAAAAGAAAAAAAAAAAAATATAAGGAAAAAGAAACTGAAATGATTTATGGCATTTAACTCGCGTTACATTTCGTAACCAAAATCGATGACAAACTTTTCAACGAATATTTTTTTCATAGCTTCGATATGCCTCGCGAAAGATATTCCGTGCCATTCGTATTCAAAAATGTACGAACACACACACACACACACATATTCTGTATACATACGCATATATATAGTACGTCTATATATATATATATATTTTATTTTTATGAAATATATAAATAAAATACGAAACTTGGTAAAGCACGACCTTTGAGAATAGTAACGACGAAAGTAAACGATTATCAATTTATTTCTTTTCTATTTTTTTTCTTTTCTTTTTTTTCCTTTACCATAGTCAAAATTAAGGAGAAAAAGAAAGAGAGAAAGAGAGAGTGAGAGAATACTTAATTGAGAATTACTCGTCGTTTCATGAACGATTAAGAGAAAAATGGCGTCGAACGGAGAACGAGGTGTGACCGGTGTTTTAAGAGGGTCTCTAGAAGAGAAGATACGCGAGAGCACGGTGGAAGCTTAATTGTTCTCTTTCACGATGGTTCACCCTTCTTCTTCTAACATTTTTTTCCCCCGTTCACCCCTTTCTCTTACTCTACCCCCGCCCTATATCTCTCTCTCTCTCTCTCTCTCTCTCTCTCTCTCTCTCTCTCTCTCTCTCTCGATTTCTCTTTTCTCCAAGCGATTTTCCTTCACACCAAAGTCCTGCCGTTAAAAGCTCAAGTTTTTGCTCTCCTTCCCTCCCTCTCTCTCTCTCTTACTCTCTCTTTCCCTCTCTCTCTCTCTCTCTCTCTCTCTCTCTCTCTTTGTGTGTATGTGTGTCCCCTTTTTGCTTACCGTAACCCATCGAAAGGAAGAGAATACCTCAGTGAGTTTCTTTCCTCGTGAGCTATCACCTTTTCTGACCGTTTCTTGAATGAATGGAATGTTAAGCAATTTGTCGAAAGATCTTGTCGAACTCTGGTCCCCGATGAAAAACGATCGAGATCATTCGCGAAAAATCGCGATCTCGTTTGCCTTTTCTTTTTTTTTTTTTTTTTTCCACTTCCACTTCTATATCTCTTTCTCTCTCTCTCTTTCTTTCTCTCTCTATCTCTCTCTTTGTATCTCTGTCTCTTTTTATACACACACACACACACACGCACACACACACATTCACTTTTTAAACAAAATCAACCTCGTTTTTAAGGTTTACCTTAGACCGAACGAATCTCCACGTGCAATCAATGATCGTGAATCGATATTCGATCGTATCTATAGATGGTTTTTCTCAATCTCGTGACGTTGGCATGGAGCATGCGCCGATATTATGCGATTTGATTATCGGCCGCAAACATGAATCCACTTTGTCGGGAGGAAAGAAAAAAAAAAAAAGAAAGAAGAAAAAAAAAAAAAAAAGAAAGGAAAAAAATAATGGGAAAAGTAAAAGAAAAAGGAGTAGGAGAAGGATAAGAAGAAAAAAAGGATAGGAAAAAAAAGAAGAGAATACTTTGATCTCTACCAAAGGAAAAAAGAGACAGAGCGAGAGAAAGAAAAAGTGAGAGAGAGAGAGAGAGAGAGAGAGAGAGAGAGAGAGAGAGAGAGTGAGAGAGAGAGAGAGAGAGAGAGAGAGAGGATTGTAATATCTTTTTTATTTTTTTTTTTTTTTTAATATTGTCGATTATTATGACGATCATTATATCGTCGAGGATTATATCGATACAATGGATATTATGTTACTAATTAAGTTTTTACGAATGAAAAATATTATCTGTATATATCTGAAACATTGCTCTAATTATTAATTGTTCTAAATTATCTACGTAAATGTACAAATACATATGTACGTGTAATTTAAGTGAAACGTAAAGGATGTATATCGAGAGATGCGATTTCATTGGAAATGGCAAATAAAAAAGTAGCTTTATCGAAAAAGACAAAAGAAAGAGAGAGAGAAAGAGAGAAAGAGAGATAGAGAGATAGATAGAGAGAGAGAGAGAGAGAGAGAGAAAAGAAAAGAAAAAAAACAAAAAAGAAAAGAAAAAGATTCTTTGATCTGAACTGATGGAAAAGAAAAAAAAAAAAAGGAAAAGAAAAGAAGAAAAAAGAGAGAGAGAGAGAGAGAGAGAGAGAGAGATAGAGAGTGAGAGAGAGAGAGAAAGGAAAAAGAATGGAAGCTACGTAGAAATAACGATAAACAAATAAAATAAAATAAAATAAAATAAGAAGAAAAAAAGCGTGATAAATAATAGAAATTTCTATTCTCTCTTCTATTTTAACGACGATCACAGTCGCTTTATCGATATGACGTATGTGTAACGTATGTTTTACTCCGTATATATCCCATTCCACCCATCTCCGACCGCACCCCCTCCCATCCCCCCTACAACACGTATTTATACTTGCGTATCCGATATTGATAGTTATATCCAATGGAAAATATTATCTGGAGAAAAATATACCGTACCTTCATCGTGATTTCTAATTACTGTATACATGTGTAAACGAAATTGATAGATTGATAGATAGATAGATAAATAGATAGATAGATAGATATTAAATGGAAAATATTATTTAAAGTTTATACCAAAAGTCATTGACGATTTTAATTACTCGCTTCGATTATCTAATTACATGTATAATATTACATAACTAACACACACACACACACACACATATATATATATGTTATCTTCGATATAAAACGTTTTTACATACATAATAACTATGTAAGTATAATGTATGCTTTTGTTCGTATATACGTATGTACTCTATATACTTTAAATGTATAATGTATATACATATATATGTAATATATATATATATATATATGTGTGTGTTTGACGGAAAATTTATAGAAGAGAATCAGTAAGTACGTAAACGAGAAATTGGTTAAAACTTTCCTATTGTTAGCTGTTACGATTCGTACGCACAGAATCCTTACCAAGTTCATCTCGATCCTCTGGGTAATTAGTAGTCTAGATACGGCTGTTTGACCTCGCCAACTAGATCAATTTAGGGTTACTTAGACAAGTAATTCCATGCGCGGGAGAGTTCTTAGAGGAGAAAGCGGATAACAGAAAGAGAAAGAGAGAGAGAGAGAGAGAGAAAGAGAGAGAGACGAAGGAGAAACGCTAACTATCTGGGAAACGTTTGAAAGTGTACGCTGTAAATATAATTTCTAGTACATAACCTTATTTGTATTAGGTATAGTATGTATATATATATATATATATGTACGTACATACATGTATATATATATGTATATACGTTCGCATAGGTTCGTATAGATTATTTTACGCGCTAGTATTCAGTACTACGTGCATTTCGAAAATGTATCCTAGCGTCGTTTAGCCAGCTTACTGGCTGCTACTCGATTAATCTCTATACTCGATTAAATCTTCTTTTTGTTTTTTTTTCTTTTTCCTTTTTTTTTTTTTTAAATATTTTCAGTTTGTTTGAATTTTCTCGATTCGAGTGAGATAGGCGGATCCGGGTACGGGGAGAAAAAGGCACGGGAAAAAAGGAAAAAAGAAAATTAATAAAAAAAACGTATTTCACCTACCGTTAGCGACAGCGAAACCGAATTGGCCGAGTGAACAGAGAAAAAAGAAAAAAGAAAAAGAAGAAAATGATTGAGGTTGGTAAAAAAGAAAAAAGACAGAGAGAGAAAGAGAAGAAATATATAATGTTAATTATTATCCCTACTTAATGAATATTTCATTTACTTAATTATATCTATTTAGTATCTTTTATGTAATAAAATATAAAAATTTTCATATAATCGACGAAATTTGGATCATTCGAATATTCGTAGTAATTAAGAAATCAAAATTGTAAGTTTTATATTATTACGTGTTGTATGAAATATTGTTATCGATCATGAAATATCGATCATTATTATTGTTATAATAATAATAATAATAATAATAATAATAATAATAATCATTAATAATAATGATGATAATAATAATAATAATCATTATTATTATTATTATTATTATTATTATTATTATTATTATTATTATTATTAACGTTTATATCATACATTCGATTAAGTTTACCACGTTTTTATATCGTAATAATTGAATTGAATATAAATATATAATTCAGATAAGTTATTCAGATTATTAGAACTAATAATTAATTATATCGAGTCTACTTACTTTTGATATGGATGAGAATTAAAGTTAACCTCTTTTTATAAATCTTAAACTTGAACCATATGGATTTTTGTCGTTTATTTAAACGAACGTATATATTTAACACTGATGCTCAACGTTAATTACGTTTCTATCGAACGAATATAAAATAAAAATTAATATCACTGAATATCACGAGAATTTGATTTCGTGAAAATATCTGTTACGTTATTATCGTCGTCGTCGTCGTCGTCGTAGTCGTCATCGTTCTCGTCATTGTCGTCGTACATTGTCGTCACTAGATCGTCTTTGTAGTTGTCGTTGTCGGTTAGCGGCATCATGTGTACGAACGCGTTCCTTCTTCCATGCTTTCTCATTCCTCTTTCCTTCCCCTTCCCCTTAACCTCTTATTCTATCCCAACGTATAACAACACATCTTGAACGCGCGCGCGTTCGAACGGCAAGTTCATAGCCACGAAAGAAATAAAAAGTCAATGTGCTCGAGAGAGAAAGAGAAAAGAGAAAGAAAGAAAGAAAGAAAGAGAGAGAGAGAGAGAGAGAGAGAGAGAGAGAGAGTAGAACGAAAGGGAGGCCTACACGAATGACGTCACGAGAAGAACCAGCAGATGAAGAAGAAGAAGAGGAGGAGGAAGAAGAAGAAGAAGAAGAAGAAGGATCAACGGCCACGAAATCTTAAACTTACGAGTACAGGAAAAGAAGAAGAAGAAGAAGAAGAAGAAGAAGAAGAAGAAGAAGAAGAATGAAAAGAATAAGAAGAATAAGAAGAAGAGAGAAAAGAAGAGGAAGAGAGAGAAAATCGCTGGAAGTTAGGCTTGGTCGCTATATATTCAACGTAGCACGCGAATAGGCGTTGAAGGGAAGGGTCGGTAAAGTGACGTCACACGCGCGGTGGCCGCGAGCGAACAAGAGAGAGATAGCTTGAGAGAGCGAGAGTGAGAGGGGGGGGAGAGAGAGAGAGAGATAGACTTCGACAACGACGACGGCAACGAGGCTCTCCGAGTAACGACGGAAGGGGCCGAGCGAGTGAGAGAGCGTGACGCGAGGAGTGGGGAGGGACAGTTGGAGCACGCCGAAGAGACTCGTTTCGTGAGGGCGCGGAGTGGGGGTCGACGGGGGTCCAGACATGGAGAGGGCGCAGTTCCGCGCTATCCTCCGTATCGTTGACACGTCCGAGTAAAAGAGTGCCCGCGGTGCCTGCCTGCTGCCTGTCTGCCTGCCTGCCTGCCAGCCTGCCAGTCAGTCAGTCGCGCCTCCGCCGAGTTGTTTGTCCTTCCTCGAATTTTTCGACAGTCTTGATCTAATTCTTAATAATCTTTATATATATATATATATGTATATATATATATGTACATATATATATATTTTTTTTATATCTAATATCTTATTCTTATTCTATAATTATCCTATTTTATCATATTAACAATTTCTATTTTAAATTTGATCAATTATTATTCCTATCGTATATAAATCTATCGTATATATTTCAATTCATTTCAAAAAAGATCCCTCGCGATTTGTTCTTCGCGTTATCCGTTGAAATACATTATAACTTTTCTTTTTTCTTTTTTTTTTTTACTTTTTCATTCTCTCTTTCGACTTCGTCGAAAAGATACTCACGATCGGGGAAGTTCTTCCTTTTTTCTTTCCTTTTATTTTTTTTTTTTTTCGAAAACGTTCTCTTTTCAAAAGTAAAAAAAATATATATACATATACATCGTATATATTAAATCGTTGGGAGATATACGATAGACGCGGGGATACGTCAGGGATCGTAGACGGAAGCGAAGGGACGATTGTGATTTCCCTTAAAATAAAAAAAAGAAAAGAAAAAAAAAAATAAATAAATAAATAAATAAAAAGAAAAAAAAAGGACGAGAGGGATCTTCCTTTCCATTCGTTCCTTCCTTTTTCTTTAATTTTCTATTTCTCTTTTTCAAAATTTCTCTTCTTCTTCTTCTTCTTCTTCTTCTTCTTCTTCTTCTTTTAACATTCCATTTTTTCACTTTCCGTTCGATCTCGCGAGTGAGTTAATAAATTCCGTTTGTGTTTCTCATATTCTGTTTGTGTTACCCCGACGAAATAGACAAGGAAAGAAATATATATATATATATACATACATTCATACTTACGTAAATATAAATATATATATATATATATATGTATATATATATATAGAGATAAAATATAGTGACCTTGACGCTTTGACCATCGCCATTTTCCAAGTAAACGCGCGAGAAGAAACGAGCAGAAGACGATGATGGCCGCCTTCTTCTTCGCCGTCTTCGTAGCGCTCGTCCTAAGCGATGGGACCACGGGTACCACGGCAAGCCAGATGACGATGGAGGCTAGGATTTACGACGACGCCGATCTATCACAGGTTAGTGCCCTCAAAGATTTTTAGTACCAATATACTCGATCGTTACGAGGTTCATCGATCTTTTCCACCATTGATCCATTTCAACCAACCGTTTTACGATTTTCAACTGTTTCTTTCGTTATCTCTCTCTCTCTCTCTCTCTCTCTCTCTTTCTCTCTCTCTCTCTAACACTCATTGAAGAGGTTAGGTTGACAACCTCGTTAATAAAAAGTGTATTCGACGAAACGAAAAGGATTTCTTTTTCTTTTTCTCTTTACTATTCCTTTTTCTTTCTTTTATTATATTTTTATTATATAATAAAAATTATTATTACATATATATATATATATACATATATATATATAAATGTGTAATAAAAATAAATTTTGTAATAACTGATAAGATTTGTCCTCCTGTGATGCATACGAATTGTAAATAAGTAAGCGCGTTTTCAAGTGCAGCAAACGGTATAGTGTATTATAAATTTACGGATGCGTGGAGAGGAGAGAGAGAGAGAGAGAGAGAGAGAGGTTCAAGGACATCGGTAGTGTGTGTAGTGCCCTTCAACAGAACGTTTCCAAGCTACGACCGTTGGAACGTACGTCCTCACTTTTCTCGCTTTCCAAGAATCCCAGAACAAATCCGAACAGACGCTCGTAAGAGAGAGAAAGAGAGAGAGAGAGAGAGAGAGAAACAGATAGAGTGAGTGAGTGAGTGAGTGAGAGAAAGAGAGTGAGAGAGAGAGAGGAACGTAGGACGAGCGAAAAACAGAGACAAAGAAGCTACTAATGGCGGCATTTTTAAACTCGTCCAGCACCGTTACATACAAGCGCGCACACACACCATAAATATATATATATATATATATATACATATATTTTTTTTCTTTTTTGTTCCTCGTAGAATTCGCTCTTCGTTGAGAAAATTTTGCGGAAAAAGAAGAAACCTTTTTCTTTTTTCTTTTTTCTTTTCTTTTCCTTTATTTTTTCATTTCGAGAACACACGATATATTTTGCTATAACCGGTCGTTATATTTGGTGGAGAAAAAAAAAAAGAAAAAAAAAAAGAAGGAAAAGAAAAAGAAAAAGGTAAAAAAAAAACAAAAAATGGAGAAAGATTATAAGTAGAAAGTAAAATGCGGAACGCAAAGAAATAGCGTTATATAGTTTGCGACGTTAGACGTCGCGTTCGCATCGAGAATTTCGTGGAATTCGCTTGACTTTTTTCTCCTCCTCCTCCTCCTCCTCTCCCTCCTTTTTCTTCTTCTTTTCCTTCTCTTTTTCTTCTTCTTTTTTTCTTTTTTTTCTTCACTACTTTCTTCCGCTTGAAGAGATGTGTCGTCTTTCGCGATATGCATACCACATATATATATATATATATATATATATATATATATATATATTATGTATATATATGTATTTAAGTATATAACTTCCTTATGTCCACCACGCCCTGTCGACGGTTACTTTTTTTTTTCCAGGCCTTCTTTCCTTTTTTTTTTGTTTTTTTCCACTCTTTTCCTTTTTTTCCTTTATATCTTTTCACTCGATTTCGTTTCCACGAAAGGAACGATACAATATAAATTCCTATTAAATTTTTCTTTCGTAAGATATACTTAATGCCGTTCGAAGTGTAACGACTTTTTAACTAGGCATTCTTCTCTTCTTTTATTTTCTTTCTCTCTCTCTCTCTCTCTCTCTCTCTCTCTCTCTCTCTCTCTCTCTCTCTCTCTCTCTTTCTTTCTCTCTTTTTCTCTCTCTCTTTCTGTTTCTTTTTTTCTCTCTCTCTTTCGAGGGATAATAAAATGGGAAAAATTTCGGAGAAAGGAAAAAATGATGGGATTTCTTTTTTTTATTCTCTCTCTCTCTCTCTCTCTTTCTCAATTTTGCAAAAAAAAAAAAAAAAAAAAAAAAAAAAAAAAAAAAAAAAAAAAAAAAAAAAAAAAAAAAAAAAAAAAAAAAAATGTGCACCAATGTAAAATGATGATAGGGACTTCAGAAAAATTCGTATTTCCTTTTTCAACGTTGTTCCTACTATTTTTTCTTTTGTTTTATTTTGTTTTGCATTGTTTTATTTCTTTTTTACATTTATTTATTTATTTATTTATTTATTTATTTATTCCATTATTATCGTTATTATTTTCTTTTTCCAATGTTTTTTGTCTGTCTGTCTGCCTGTCTGTTTGTTTGTTTGTTTGTTTGTTTGTTAGTAGTATACATACGTCGAAACAAAACTTTCGCGATATGTATACCGTACGATAAAGAATGAATGGCAAACAGTGTCCGTTGAACGGATTCTTTCGAATTTCTTTTTTTTTTTTTCTTTTGTATATATATATATATATATATATATATATATATATATATATACATATTATGTACATACGTACGTAGGTGTAACGTTTGTATGTGTACGCCATGAACGGAAATTGAAAACGTCTAGTATTATTTAGCTTCAAAATCGTTTCGCAAATCGTTCGCCTCGCGTCGGAACGTTTTGTGCAGTTTAACACTCATAACGTTCAATTTATGAAGTGCGTGTATGTGCGTCTACCAACGTTATGTCGAAAGCAAAGCAACCCGTTATTATTTTCTATGTGTATATATATATATATATATATATATATAAATGTGTGCACCGGGCGTGTGTATGAGTATATCTTTCTCTGTATGTATTGACGTATGTACATATATGTGTGTGTGTGTGTATGACATTGTAACGTTTCAACTTTTTCCGAGTTTTCTAGGGCCCTTTTATTTTTATTATTTTTTTTGTAATTTTTTATTTTCTACCTCCTCCCTTTCCTCTCTCTCTCTCTCTCTCTCTCTCTCTCTCTCTCTCTCTCTCTCTCTCTCTCTCTCTCTCTATCTTTCTCTCCCTCTTTCCTTTTTTAATCGAACATCGTTTATTTATTTTACGTAGTATGTATGTTCTCTGTACTGGAAGAAGAAAACTTGTCTTACGTTTTGCTAACGAAAACGTTTGAGACGTTTAGAAGGAAATTTTGAAGGGATGAGGGGGGTGGGATCGTAGGGGGTGAAGGGGTGGGGGTTATTTTTGGGTCAGTATGT